TGGCTTCCTTGTCTCTGCTGTCTACACAGGAGATTCTGACTGTGATCAGTACTTTCCGCTCAGTAACAGTTATAGATACTTCATGGTGATACCCTTGAGTAAATGCTGTGGTGATGGTGAAGAAGGGTTCCAGAGAGCAGGAATTGTGTGTGTGTGTGTGTGTGTGTGTTTGTGTGTGTGTGTGGTGTGTGTGTGCGCGCGCGCATGTGCGTGCGTGCATGGGGGGGTGTTCATATGGGGTGTGGTACAGACATACATAAAGACATAGATGCATGTGTTGGGGACACACGAGCACCTGAGTATGGAGAGCCTGGGTGTCCTTCCTCGGGCACTGTGCACTTAGGGTCTCTCATGGCTGACTTGCCCAGGCTGACTGGCCTCAGGAGTCTACCTGTCTCTGCCTCCTCAGCCCTGAGATTACACGCATGTGCCCCCATGCGTTGGTTCTTTTTAAAACCATGATCTCTGGGGATTGAACTCAGTTCCTCATACTTTCAAGGACTTTACCTACTGATCTGTCTTCCCTGACCCAGAAATCAATTACTGTAAAGCAAACAAGCAAGCCAAGTGCATATATCTAACCTTCCTAATTCAGGAGGTGGACACAGGAGGATGGCCACAAGTTCAAGACCAGCTTGACTTACGCAGAGTGGTTCAGTCTAGCTGAGTTACATGGTAGGAACCTGTCTGAGAGAGCCAAAAACTAACAATAATAGCCATATGTGGTGGCATATATCCTAACCCTAGCACTTGGGCGGCTGGGCCAGGAGGATCAAGGGTTGGAAACCAGCCTGGGATAACAAAGAGACTGAACCATTTTTTTTTAATTAATTGATCAAAAACAGAAAATCAAACACCTGTGACAAATAAAACCAAAGCTATTTCTTTGGGGAAATGTCATGAAGTCTAAAGGAATAAGAGAAAGAGCTATGATATTGATGGCTGTGACTGAATTAACTTGGACAGTGTTCCATCAGCCTCACGTAGAATCTGTCACCCCACCTCCACCACTGTCCCTCTTACCTCTGTGGTCCACAGCTCCAGGATCTGTCTGGCAGACATGCTTTTCTCCAGGAGCCAGCACGATGGCCACATTGCTTACCCCCCCCCAAAGGCAAATGACCCCCAGCACTTTTCCATAAATACGCTTGAGCTCAGTCTAACCCTCCTGCTGTTGAGGTCCCTGAGGTCATGCTCAGGTTCACTGAATCACCAGGGCTGCGGTTTATTGCAGAAAATGGTGTCACTTCCACGCCGCTCCCCATGATGATGTGAGTTTATCATCCATGGCTGAGACTGTTAGGAGCCAGCATGTGGTTTCCTGCCACCCACAGTGGACAGGAGACGTCTTCAGCCTGGGCAAGGGGTTGGGAGTCAGCTGACTCACTTTTTCCAAGAGTGAGAAATAAACTTGTGTGGTTGCAACAGTCTAGAGCTGGGGGTTTTGCTTTGGCAGCAACTGTCATGAAAAGCTGATGAACCCAAGCCTGTGTCTGCAGGCAGTTTGGGATGGGGTGTTGAGGATGCATTTCTGGGGTCACCGAGTAACCCTCACTCCTGAACTCTGTCAAGAGAACAAGGCTCCCAGAGCCAGGGCCAGCCTGGGCCCACACTTTGGGAACTCAGCTGAAGCAGGCTGGCCTATTGCTGGCCTAGAGCTATACAGAAAGGGCATGGCTGCCCAGGGCACATCCATCATTGCAACTGTAAACTCTTCCCGACAAACGGGAGGCATGGCTTATCACACAGGCGCACCTTTGCCATGTGTAGGCCATACCAGATGCATGTGAACATTCCTCAAATGTGCTACACATGCCACACACATGTCTGTACCACACATAGGATGCTATAACACATGCGTGCAGTGTACAGTGCTCACACCGCATGTGATACATATACAGCACACACATAACATGTGTGTGCACCCTATCTCATATAACTGCATAGTACACATGCCACACGCGATACATACATGATGCATACTACACAAATCAGATGTGTGTATGTACACCACACTTTACACCGATATACCTACCACACACAGACCTTGTCAGTGGTCCTGTATCTGGAACAGCGTCAGGGTACGTTAATAGGGGTGATTGTGACAGTCAGGTTTGTAACAGTACAATATGAATTATTGTGGTTACACACGTACACACACAATCACTTAGGCACACACCCCACCCAAGGCACCTATGCAGAAACATACACACAATCACATATACAGCACTGAGCCACCCTGCCCCGGGTCTGCCCTGTTTCCCTGGACACCTCTCCCTGTCCCCTTGCTTACTTACCCCTCTGGGTCTGGCGAAGGCAGTGTTCCTGCTGGGCCTCCTCTAAAATGGAGGTTTCTTCCGGACTTGCCCCCAGGAAGCCTCTTCAAGCCTGGGTCATCTGTGAGGCCAGAGTGGGACTCCTGTTTCCCAGGGTTCTTCATTCTGCTCTGTCCCAGCACTGTGCAAGATCCCATGGGGAAACTCCTGGGCACACAGTGTCTGTAGGAAGAGGAATAGAAGACATGACAAATAGAGCTGGGTCTACCATCGTGTTCACCGGCCTGGAGGATTAATAAGGTCCAAGATGCGAAGAGGAGACTGGCCAAGCATCCATCAGAGTTTTCCCATGAACCGGCCCTTCACAATGAACTCAAGAGGGTTTCATCACCAAGGACACAGGCACATGTGGTTGTGGTGCAGGAGTCATAAAAGTGGATTTGGAAGGGGACCATAAGGACAAAGACCTTCACAGCCCTGGACAAAGACATGAAACAGATGAGAGAGGATAAGGGCCCAGCGGCTGGAAATGAACAGTGTGTGTTTTGCTGTGTGTGTCTCACTGTGCAAAAGATCAGGGACAACTCCGTCCTTCAGACCCTGTGTGAGTCCTACCCTGACAGTGCCAGGAGCCGGCATTTCCAGCTGATGGGTGGCAAGAACCCAGGCTTGAGTTCTTCATGCTTCCCTACCCTGATGAAGGCCACGTCCTCTCTGAAGGGGCCCCAAGTCCCACCTGGACCTCTTCCCATCCTCTCTGAGAGAAGAGCACCCCAGGCAGACTTCCTTCTATGAAAGACTTCCCTGCTCTGGGCCTGAGGGATCATCTTCTTGCCAAGGAGGGGTTTGGGTTTGTTGTTGTTGTTTTCATGTTTGTGCTCATGGAGGGGCACACGTGCTGTGGGACACACACATGCCACTGAGCACATGTGGAGGTCAGAGGACAGCCTCACGTGTCAGTCCTCACCTTTCACCTTATTTGAAACAGGGCTTCTCTTGTTCTCTACTGCAGACATCGGGCCGGCTGGCCCATGAGCTCCCCCGGATTCTCCCCTAGGAGAATCTCACCCTAGGAGCATGGAGATTACAGACGCATGCTACAGCACCCAGCTTTACATGGCGTCTGGAGATCTGAACTCTAGTCACCACAGTTGCTCTGCAAGCACTTTACCTACTGAGCCATCTCTCCAGCCTCCACAGAGGTCTCTGAGACACCAGGCTCCCTGGTCTTAGGGCTTCTATGTGGCCATAAGAGGCCACAGGAAGTAGCCCAGATCCTATGTAGGACTTCTTCCCGTTACAACAATTTGTTTATCAATTTCTTTATAATTCTATATCTGTGTGTGTGTGTGTGTGTGTGTGTGTGTGTGTTTTCCTTATCTCCCCAAAGCTCACCTGACCAGTACAGCTCCTTCAGAGTGACTAAACATCAGCATGAGGTCTGCTTGGATTATCACCAAAGTTTCTGAGCCCTTGTCCTCACGCAAGTCTTTAGCCCAAAGGGAATGTGGCATTGTGTTGTGTTGGGTCCACTGATTTGCCACTTGAGGAGGTTCTGTGACTCCACCTTGAACGTGACTCCCCATTACCTCATTCCTCTAGTCTGTGTCAGAGTGTAAGGACTGACCTGTTTGCTGAGTTCAGCTATGAATCACGTGCTCTGTTGAGTCAAGTCCTGTAGTAAGGAAATGACAGAGGTCAAAGGTCGCGTCTATAGGACAGACCTGAGTCTGAACTCCACATTCACTGATTTCCATTAGCCACTGCTCAGCTCATGGGACCACATGCGGTTGCACCTCTTAATTCAGAACAGTATTTCGAATCCCCCAAAGTCTGACTCTTCCTTTCTTCAGGCAGCAGTATGCTAGTACTGTGGTTCCTTCCTCTGGGGAAGCATGGGGAAGTTAGGGTTAGTTCTGACCGATGCTCCTTCCTCCTAGGGCCCTGACACATTCTTCCCAGGCCTACGACATTTTGACCTGGTTCAAGATTGAAATGAGTTGCAAGTCCAGAATAAGCCATTTGGTCCTTTCACTCAGACTGTGCTTCTTAGAGCTAGCTCTCACCTGCTTGTGCAAAGAGAGCCTTTAGCCCAGTGTCCATCTTCTTCAGCTACCAGGGTGTCATGAGGAATTTTCCAGCACCAAAGCCTCTGAGAATCCCACTGCTTAGCAGATGTCCACAGGCATGGGTGTGTTGATTCTGAATCTCCCACACACTTATGCTGTTAGGACACAGTGAGATACTGTGGTGGTTGGAATAAGAATGACCCCACCCCCCCCCATAGGCCCATATATTTGCCTGCCTTATCACTAGGTTTAGAAGGATTAGGGGGGTTGGTCTTTTGGAGGAAGTGCATTACTGTGTAAGTGGGCGTAGAGGTTTTAAAAAGCTCGCACCAGCCCCTGCCATCTCTCTCTCTCTCTCTCTCTCTCTCTCTGCTTGAAAATCAGAACATAGCTCTCAGCTACGTCTTTAGGACCGTGCCCGCCACACTTGCCAACATGCTCTCTGCCATGATAATAATGGAACTAAGTCTCTGAATCTGAGTAATGTAAGCAAGCCTCCAATTGAATGCTTTCTCTTCTATGAGTTGTGGTCATCGCGTCTCTTCACAGCAATAGAATAATGGCTAAGACAGAAGCACTGACCATGGCCTTGGAATCTTGCAATGAATACACAGAGCATTTTTTCTCTCTCTCTCATTGATCTGATATTCTGTAGAGCATAAAGCGACAGTGGACACAGACGGAATGCAGACAGACATCCTGAAGGTGTACAAGAGGCAAGAAATGGACAAAAGGATACAGTGAGAGAATGTCGGCTCCGTATGTTAATAGGGACCGGAAGTGAGTGGAGTTAAGTGTGGATACCCAGAGGAGAGTCCCAAGCCAGGGATCAGCAGGTGCAAACGTCCCCCAAAAATGTCACCACAGCCTCCAGATAGTGGCGTAGATCAGAGGGATGCAGGCGGCTCTGTGGTCAGATGTAGCGCTGGCTCCAGGAGTCATTCTTTCCTTTTCCCCCACTATTAGCGGGAAATGAATGAACAGCGGGGAGTAACTGAGTCATCAGAAAGGAGAGATCCGAGGTCATTCTTCCATTCTGCCACCCAACACCTACCCAAAATAATGACAACAAGTCCATGTCTAGACATGGGGCCAGGAGACACAGAGGACAGAGCTGTCCCATATAGTGGCTCAGTCTATGCTCCCAGCACTCAAGGGATAAAGGATTTCAGTGAGTTCAAAGTTAGCTTGAGCTAAATAGTGCATTCCAGCCCAGCCTGGGTTGAGAGTGAGATGCTTTTTCAAATAAACAAGGCTGAGCATGTATCTTGGTAGAGTGCTTGCCTGGCATGCATGAAGCCTAGGCATCAAACCTGAGCACAGCATAAATGTGGTGGCACACACCTAAAATACCTGGACTCGGGGAGTAGAGGCAGGAGAATCAAGTTCAAGGTCATCCTAAGCTAAATAGAGGCTAGCCTGGGCTGGAGAATATGATGGAAGAGAGAGAGATAGCTGTGACCTGCCGTCTGTACCCTTTGTGGGGACTCAGCATCCAGATGAACTCTGATTAAGGGACCAGGATCACAGCATTAGCTTGACCAGCAGTGTGGAGCGGTAATAGTGCTAGAGACCCCATGGACTAAGAGCACTCTGTGGAAGGCGAGGCAGAATTTTGGTAGAAAATGGTTTCTCTGTGGTCATAGAGATAGAACAGGAGAAGTAGGACAGCCATCAAGTCCACTCAGGAAGTGGCATGTCACAGGGGGTGGGCAGCCAAAAAAGAAAGTGCTCTCCAGGACTCTGCAGGAGTGGGAAGGAGGCGAAGACCTCACCTGAGGGCTAGGGCAAAGCTGACATCCTCAATCCAGAGCCGTGGATGTAACCACTTACTGGGCATGATAGAAACCAAAGCCTCTGAGGTCGGGAGCATCGTCAGAGCCCTTCCTGCATCTGTTCACCGGGAGCCTCACATGGGAGCCAGAGACCAACCAGGAAGCAGATGACAGAAAGAAGAACTAGGCAAGTAGACATTCTAGGTTCTAGGAGACAGCCCCTTCCCTCTTGGGCTTGGTGTAGGTACAGATGACATCTGAGCTGAAGAAATGATCCCAAGAGTGATGAGAATGTGGCTGCCTTCGGTTCTGCTCCTCTTGCTGGTCCCAGGTGAGCAGGGGGCAGGAGCTAGAAGGGTTTAAAGCTTTGAAAGGGAAGTCCTGCTGTAGGCATGACCCGGAGATGGGAGGTGGGACATCGGCCAGCAGAGGCAGGTGGGGCCTAGAGAGAAGGCAGAAGGATGGGCTTGGGGCGGGGGCGGGGGCGGGGGCGGGGCCCAGGAGTTGTCAGCATCTGTATCGCAGGTGCTGCCAGGCTTCTGTGCACAGTACAGTCGTGTGTACCACAGCTGAGACAGGGTCAGGACCCACCAGGTGGGTTACCTGTGACCGTCATTGCCATAAGCATGTAATCTCTATAGTGTATACGCATGTATCACCTGTGCATACTAAACACACACAAGCATTCAATCCCAGAGAGGCATATGTCCCACCCACAAAGACATACACATATATGTACATAGGCAAAGTCTCCCTTTCTTTCTCCCTCTCTCCCTCTCTCTCTCTCTCTCTCTCTGACTCTCTTTTCTCCCTCTCTCCCTCCTCTTCTCTCTCTCTCTCTCTCTCTCTCTCACACACACACACACACAATGTTGTTCCCTCCTGGGCCCTTCCTTGCTCCAGGAACAAGACCTCGCCCTGCCCCCACTCCTGAACAACAGAGGTGCTCACCTCAGTCCTGACTCCTGGGTCTGACAGAGCCTGTCTCCTTTCTCACTGTTTCCTCCAGACCACAGGGCTTTCTAAGATCTGACCCCCATCCATCTGTGAGGGTGCAACATTGGAGCTTGTGTTTTCCAGGCTGTGTCCCTCTGTGTGGCCCCAGCACCGTGACAGGCACTGTGGGGGAGTCGCTGAGTGTGCAGTGTCAGTATGAGGAGAAATACAAGACTCATAACAAATACTGGTGCAGAGGGTCACATGTGCCACTATGTGACGATATTGTCAAGACCAAAGGTTCAGAAGAAGCTAGGAACGGCCGAGTGTCCATCAGAGACCATCCAGACAACCTCACCTTCACAGTGACCTTGGAGAACCTCACCCTGGAGGATGCAGGCACCTACATGTGTAGGGTGGATATACCGTTTACCGGTGGTTTCTTAGGGATTGATGACTCCTTCAAGGTTGTGTTGTCCGTGGTCCCAAGTGAGGTCCCAGGTAAGTCTCCTTCACTCTAGGGCAGTCTGAGTCCAGGCTTGTCGTTCCCTCGTGAAGGAAGGAAGCCATGTCCAGTAGCCTGAAGAGCTTGGTGAATCAGGGCACAGGGAGTGTGAGTCCACGTGTGCCATTGGACACGTACACCAGTACATGTACGTGCATGCACACACAGGCACAACAGGGACCTGTGTCCTTAGAAACTCCTTTTGTTTGTTTGTTTGTTTGTTTGTTTGTTTCTAGGCGCTTGCCCACGGTGTGTGTAAGTCAGAGAACTTCTGGGAGTTGGTTTTCTATTTCCACCGAGTGGGTCCTGAGGCTCACACTTGGGCCATCAGGCTTGACAAGCAAGGGCCTTTACCCACTGAGCCACCCCGCCAGCCCCTGTTGGAGTTTCTCTGTGTGGTCCATGTGACAGCATAAGGCCTGAACCTTTCTATAGACAGGCCCTGAATTGCTGACTCTTTGTGACCTCCTGTCTTGATAGGACACAAGCCCTCTCTCCCAGGTCTTAGATGGTCTTGTCCCCATTTTCCATGTGGGAAGAGTACCCCTGCGCATCTGCTCCCCTCTGTCAAAGGCTGCTCTGACCTCAGACTTAGCCAACACTTTCCTTCCTTGGAGGTTCTTGAGGCAGCAGCTTCACCCCTGGTTCTGGGCCTTTTGAAGGCCCAGAGACACAGGGAGGAGCCTAGAGAGCATGTCCAGCTCCTCTGTGCCCTGAGGAACCCACTCAACCTCTCCAAGTTCCCCTGTTTCTCCCTTTCCCAGAAACCATTTACTTCAGGAGAAATTTCAGAGAATCTCCCCAAAGTCCCTGTCCCTTCCCTGGGCAGAGGGTCAAGCAGGATGGAAGATGGGCTCTCAGCTACTTTGATTCCCCAACATTCTCCATGTCTCCAGTTCATTCTCCCTTAATGGACCCTCCCCTGCACAGAACCCAAATCCATGCATCTCTGTAAGGGCTGGGGTGGCACCAGGGGCTGAAGGAGGAAGATGAGCCTCACTGATACCCCCAGGGCTTTTCCCCCTTTTTGAGAGAGGATCTTGTGTAGCCCAGGTTGGCCACAAACTCACTGCACGGTTGCGAACGCCTGATCTTCTTGTCTCTGCCTCTCCAGCTCTGGGGTTACAAGCATACACCACCACACCCAGCTTCCGGTTCCTGGTTCTCCGTTTTGGTTTCCCCCTCAAACAAGTTTCCCTCCAACACCCTCTGTGGGCTCATACTAGAGAGTGGAAACTAAAATCCCATGGGTGCCACTAGTTCTCTGCAGTAGAGGCCCCTCTCGGCAAGGTCCTTCAAGCATCCGCCTCTCTAGAACTTTCCATCTGGTCATTCCTCAGTGAAGACTGCCCCTTGGCCTGTCTGACTGACCGTGTGGGAATGAGTGGGACAGGCAAACACAAGTCCCACCACTCTGAGTTTGTCCCCAGAGGGATGGGAAACAAGGAGACAACAGGTGTGACTGAGGCTGGGACCCGGTACCAAGTGTCTTGTCACTGACACTTAAACTCTCCTCTATGAGAAGACTGGCCTCTTGTCTGAAAGTGCCACCCAGCGCACCAACCAGACCTTGGTGTGGCCGTGGGGCTTATAGGCTGACAGACAGCTGTCCAGCATGGCCCTGGGGACCTGTGTGAGGCAGAGGGACAGGTTTCAGTGGGTAGGAGATGGAGTGGAAGTCATCGGAACTGTCTTGTGTTTCCGTCCTTCGCTCCAATCACAGTCTCTAGCCCTGGGAACAGCGAAACTACCATGGCGTCTTCCACATCCTCACCAGGGCACACCCAGCCCAGCGTGACCACAGAAGACACAACTCCTCATCCCAGCCTACAGCCTCGGTGAGTAACCGACATGCTTGAGGCCTCTGAATTGGGGAAGTAGAGTAATGCTGAGACAGGGGAAGTAGAGGGGGTTTGTATCTCCCTCCTGAGAGACCCTCCCAATCTCACACTGACCTGGAGGGTCTTGTGAGTGCCAGCAGCTTCTCTAAAGACTGGGACACAGCACAGACACCCAGACACAGACCTGCTGAGACGGAGGTGGTTTCCTGCCAAGTGGTTACTACATAAACACATCCAGAGCGTGGAGAAACAGCTCTGGGGAGATGGCTCTGCTGGCAAAGGGCTGCCTAGCAAGAACAAGGTTCTGAGATCGAGCCACATCACCTACATGAATAGTCAGGCGTGGTGGCACACACTTGGAATACCAGTGCTGTCGAGGTGGAGACAGGAGGGTCCCTGAGCCTCACTGGCCAACTAGGCTATTTGGCAAGCTACAAGCCAGTGAGAGATCCTGTCAGAAAACAAAAGACATGGGCCAGGCCTTTAGACTAAGGCACATGCCCTTAGTCCCAGCACTTGGGAGACAAGGCAGGCCGATCTCTGTAAGTTTAAGTCCAGCCTGGACTACATAGAGAATTCCATTCTAGCCAGCACTACACAGCGAGACCTGTCTCAAAACAAACACAAAGTGATGACTCTTGAGGAAATGACCAACATTATTCTCTGGCCTCCATGTTCATGCACACACATGAGCACCTAAATACATACACGTGAACACACATGTACACACAGCACTAAATTAATTAACTAACTAATTAAAATAAGTAAGCCACTGGGTGTAGTGGCACAAGCCTTTAATGCCAGTACTTGGGAGGCAGAGGCAAGTGGAGCTCTGTGAGTTCAAGGCCGTCCTGGTCTACATAATGAGTTCCAGGACAGCCAGGGCTACATAAAACAAACTAACAAACAAACAAATAAATACACATTGGGCTCTGTAATATAAATAGACAGACAGACAGCAGCCACCCAGGAGGAAACAAGAAGAGTTGGGGTGGGGGTGGCTTGGGGTTGGGGGAGGCAGTGCCTGCCTGCTTAGAGGCCATAGGGGAAGGGGTCCAAGGAGTTGGTCTGGAGATTGCTGGCCAGGCCCCTAGTTCAAGGCTTCTTCTTGGGATTTCTATCAGCCACACTGGTCATTCAGGTAGGAATGCCTTGTCCTTGTCCCCGCACAGATCTCGGTGGACACAGACCTGGGTAAAAGAGACAGGCCCGTAACTCAGGGCACTAGCGCCACCTTCTGGGAAAGGAGCTTATTGCGACATGTCCCCCACAGGTCTCTTCTGAGCAGCCTCTACTTCTACCTTCTGGTTTTTCTGGAGTTGCCCCTGCTTCTGAGCATGCTCAGTGCCGTCCTCTGGGTGAACAGGCCTCAGAGGTGCTCTGGGGAGAAGACGCCTTGGCCTGATTATGAGAATCAGTGACGTCTGTTGACATCGAGGCCCTGTCCCTGGACTCGGCTCCTCAGGTGGCTGAAGACAACCAGTAAATCTGTTTCTGAGAATACTCTGAGATTTGTAGAAGATTCTTTGTGCTGCATCAGACACATAAAAGAATGTGCCCAATCAATACATACATGGTTTAATAGAATGTTAATAGGATGTCTTTACTTATTGTTTGATAATTTTACCTATGTGTACAACCTAACTCTATCATGTCCACCTCCACCCCCCCACCTCCACCCCCCCCCACCTCCACCCCCTCAGGCCTGTGCTCCCTACACCCCTTCATGTTCTATGCCGACCAGGGCTGAGGGCAGCCCTAATTAAAGGGTGTGGATGTAGATACTAGAAGGCAGCTTGACAACATGTCCGATACACTCTCGGCACCGTGCCCGTCTCCAGATTCAGTAACAGAACGAGATCTATACTCCTCCTCTCTGAGGTCACATTCCTGCTTCCACCCTCCTTGGTGACAACCTGAACCTGTTGGTTTTTTATCTGCTTGCCATAAGGTTTTGCCACATACATGCACGTGGGTTTGCCAAGGGCAATATTGTTTAGCTTCTCTGCTTCTGATTGTTAAACAGTTATACTCTTTTTTTTTTTTTTTTTTTTTACATAGGATCTAGCCTAGAATTTACTATATAGACTAGACTAGCTTTGAACTCATAGAAATTCACCTGCACCACCATGCCAGAAACAGTGTTACACACCCCCCCCCCCGCCCAGCGTTCAGAGGAAACCCAAACTCTGACATACAGAACAAGCACTTTGTCACGGAGACACACTCCAGCCCCCGTCTGTCTGTCTGTCTGTCTATCTCGTTGTCTCCATCTGTATCTATTTCTCCGCTTTTCTCCTTTCTTCCTTCTTCTGCAGTTGGCAGGGTCTCACTATATAGCCCATGCTAGTCTGATCCTCCTGTCTCTGCCTCCCTAGTTCTGGGATGGGAGGCATATGCTACCCTGTCCAGCATGCATTCTTCATCTCTAAGTCTTATGGTTTGCTCATTTGACCTTGTGTCTCTGAGATCCACGCAACTGATGTGCTAAGCTCTAACATGCATCTCACTGGGTGTTGTCCTTGGCTGGCTGTGTAAGTATGCTGATACATGTTTTTCCCTTCCGCAGATAAATACTTTTGAGCCTCTTTTTCCTTTTCTTCTCCCTTCTCCCCTTCTCCTCCTTCTCTTCCACCCTGTCCCACCCTGCTTTTGTTATGAACTAAAACACAAGATGGCCGGCTGCGATCACAAGCACACATCACCAAGACCTGTTTTTTATGTGGCTTCTGCAGCTTCAACTCAAGTCCTCATGTGAGCACAGCAAGCACTTTATGGACGCAACTACCTCCACAGACTGCCATATATGTCAAATATATATATCTCCACACACACACATATACACATATAGAGAGAGATCTTTTAATAAATGGCTTTTAATTATAATGTAACATAGTCGATATTTCCTTTTCAGATGGTGCCTTTTGCCTCTCACTTAAGAAAATATTTATACCAAGACAAGCACATGACTATAATCCCAGCACTTGAGAGGTACAGGCAGGGGAATCCGCAGTTTCACTCTCAGCTACATAGTAAGATCCCGGTCGTCTTAGGCTACATTAAGACCCTGTCTCAAAAACCAAGTAGGAGCCGAAGAGCTGACTCAGCAGTTCCGAGCACTGGCTGCTCCTCCTTGGAGTCCCAGCTCCCATCAGGCAGCTCACAACCTTCTGCAACTCCATTTCCAGTGGACCCAACTCCCTCTTCTGGCCTCTGTGAGCACTGCCATGGTACAAAGACACGCCCGAAGGCACACAAACACCCATGCACATAAAAATAAGCAAATAAAATTTTTCCAAAAAACAAACAATATAAGAAGAAGATAAAGAAGAGGAGACTAGTAACAACAAGAATAAGAGGTGATCCCCTAAAAATCAAATTGTTTTCCTGTAAAGATTTTTATTTTTAACTCCTTACGTTTTTATTTATTACCACTGAATATGCTTCTGATGTGTGTCCATGCATGCATGCCACAGCACACATTTGGCAGTCAGTGAAGATCTTTGTGAAATAAATTCTCTCCTTCCACCTTCATGTGAATTCTGAGAACTGAATTTAGGTCATCAGACTTGCACAGATACCTTCACTGAACCAGTTTGGCTCACACTAATTAACTGTGGTTTCCTTGCCAGAGCTTTAGTTTCAAGTCTTGGTGTCATATCTCTCTTCTTGGGTATCAGGAAGTCTTCATAAACACTGGCCAGGTCCTCTTCTATTCACATCTTATCAAGATGTGAAGAGCCAGTCAGGTTCTGTAGGCGTAAGGTTATTGTGTAATTCAAATGCTCTTTTCTGTAACGCCCATGTCTAGTTGTAACTTTTGTTCTGAGAAGCTCCTGTCTCAGTGCCGTGTAAACACTGCTCCCCAATTGTTTCCTCCTAAGCCAATAAAGCAGCTTACAGCCAATTACTGAGCAGGGGAGAGACTAGGACTGGACTTCCTGCCAGCCAGAGGAGGAGGTGGTGGAGAAGGAGGAGGAAGGAGATTCAATCATGGCAGAGGTCTAAGAGATATCAGCCGAGATGGAGCTGGAGCAGAAAATCTATAAAGTGCAAGTATCTATGGAATGTACACTGGGAGGAAAACAGATTAGATCAGAGGGTTAAGAATAGAGTAATAACTGCTCAGTTATTGTGTTGTGATGCTTAGTATTAAACAAATATAAAAGAATCTTAATTATCTCTGTGATAGCCGGGTTAAAATAAAAACTGAGAACAAACACAGTTTTATAAAAATAACTTTAACAAAGTTCCTAAAAAGAAAATCAAATATGGGTTAGAGAGGCAGCCCAATGGTTAGAGCACTAGCTGCTCTTACAGAGAAACTGAGTTCAGTTCTTGGTACTTACAGTGGGTGTCTCACAACGCAGCTCAAGGGATCCAACACCTCCTTCTGACCTCCATAGGCACTGCATTTATATAGTGCACAGACAGACAGACAGACAGACAAACAAAACACTCATCCATGTAAAGTAAAACTTTAAAAAGAGAAAGAAAAGTTTCTGAAAGGTCTATGCTGGGACTTTGAGTTTGAGTACATATCTCAGTTGGGGGTTTCAACTGCTGCGATGAAACACCACAACCAAAAGCAACTTGGGAAAAAAATTATTTTGCTTTATCTTCCATAGCACAGTTCATCATCAAAAGTAGTCACAACAGGAACTCAAGCATGGCAGGAACCTGAAGTCAGGAGATGACGCAGAGGTCCTGGAGGGGTGCTGCATGCTGGCTTGCTCATCATGGCTTGCTCAGCCTGCTTTCTCACAGAACCCAGGACCACCAGCCCAGGAGTGACCCCACCTACAGTAGGCTGGACCCTCCCCCATCAATCACTAACAAAGAAAATGCCCTTTATATCTGAAGGAGGCATCTTTTCTTTTTTTTCCTTTCTCTTTCTTCCTTCTTTCTCTCTCTCTTTCTTCCTTCTTTCTCTCTCTCTTTCTCTTTCTTTCTTTCTTTCTTTCTTTCTTTCTTTCTTTCTTTCTTTCTTCTTTTGACAGAGTCTCTCTCTGTAGTCCTGGTGGCTTTTCCTGGGACTGACAGAGATCCACCTGTCTCTGCCTCCCTAGTGCTGGCATTAAAGGTGTGCAACTATGCCTGGCATGGGGGCATTTCTCAACCGAGGTTCCCTTTTCTCAGATGACTGTAACTTGGGTCAAATGGACATAAAAACTAGGCAGCACAGTGCATCAAATGTATATTTAAAATAACTTCCTTATCAATGAACATGGAGTGTAACACGAATTATTTGGGAACTTTGAAAATGTCTTTTAAGTGTTGGTGAGATGGATCAGCTTTACTGTGAAGGCCTGGCCCCCAGAAAAAAATAAAATTATAAAAAAAAAAAGAAATGTTAAAAAAAAAAAGTAGAATCACAAAGTTGGAAAGAAAGCTGGCAGAACAGAGCCGAGCTTAGCAGAGAAGGACATACTTATAGGATATCGGCAATGGTCCAGAATTCGTGGTGCTTCAGGAACCAGAAACCTTGAACCAAAAGTAAAGCTGCCAGCCTCCAGCACGGAGCCACCTTGGCTGCAGCCCATGCTGCTTGCCCTGCTGGGAGATGGAAAGTGCTGGGCAGTAGCGGCTGGCATCAAGGACAGGGTGGTGTGCCGTGTCCTGGAGCTCCCTAGGAAACATGGCGTTACTGTCTCCAGTAACGCCCTAGGCAGCCAGTGTGCCCACAGCATGAGCCGCTGAGGAGACAGAGGGTGCAGGGCAAGGTGCTGCACAGGCTGCAAGCACAAAGGTCGAGCCAGTGAGCCACAGGGGGAGGTGTGCCACAGCCAGGAGCTCCCCCAAAACTTGTCTTCTGGACACCCTGGCTGGCCAGAACATCACCCTGACTCTGGACAACTGCAGGATATCGACAAGTCTCGGCAATGGTCCAGTATTTATGGTGTTTCAGAAACCGGAAACCTTGAACCAAAGACCCACTGCAATGAATGTTTGTATTTAAAGCTGTTTGAACCAAAAAAAGAAAGAAAGAAAGAAAGAAAGAAAGAAAGAAAGAAAGAAAGAAAGAAAGAAAGAAA